AAAAAAAAAGTTGCTAATGTCCGCCCCTAAATTTAAAGATTATGTTGAGAGGGTTCTGGAAAAATTTTTTTTTTTTTTTTTAACCCTCCGAAATACAGCCGAAATGGTTTTTTCGTTGTAACTTGGTTATTTGACGGCCGATTTTTAAAATTGATATGTCATTATTTTTGTCTTGAGAAGCTTCACTTTTCGTTCTTATGTCTTTTTAAGCTTTGAAGTCGCGTTCGCATGATAAGGGCAGAAACAAAATTTTACCCCCCCTAAAGCATATTTTTTTCCTTACCAAACGAAAGTACTTAAAAATTCAAGAAAATGTTGCCTTCAAACTATATTACTAAAATAATAAACAAAGGAGTTATAGCACTTTTAATATCACAGGTCAACATGAGTTTCAGATGTAAGTATAATAACACAGTACAACAAAAATTGATTTTTTTTATGCAACAGAGTAACCTAAATTTAAGGATTATGTTGAGAGGATTTCGAAATTTTTATTTTATTTTTTTTTTAACCCTTCGAAATACAGCCGAAACATGGTAGAGTTTGTTGTGAAAGTTTATGCACCATTCTGGTTTCTTGTAAAGAGCCAGCCACAAGCAATTCATGGAAGTAGACACGTTTTTAAGTATATTTGCTGGATACGCGAACTATCAAATGCTGTTCAAGCCATTATACGTTCAGCTATAGAAAATAATGCATATTATTTTCACCCAGAAAATATATTATTAGCCATGATAACCGACGCTGATCCAGAGATACGTAATGATGGGTACGAAAAAATCAAAACAGCACGTCAATATCCACCAGCAGGGCTTCGCGTGTTCAAGGTCCCAAAGCGTGGCGTAATAAACTTTGAAAGTAAGTCGTATGTCAGCATGATCGATTGGAGTCAGTTTAAGATTACGGAACCCCCTTGTGTGCAGTTCTACCCAGATAGTGAACTTACAATGTTTCAATTTTCGGAAAATGAAGTGATAAATATCCCAGGTAAATATCTTCAAACTAAAAACTTCACGGGTCTTATAGTACTTTTAAATCATTTTTTTTTAGAGTTCCTCTGTCATTCCCAGAATACCGAACGGTTTGTGCGTGTTGTTAGTGAGTCTGCAAGTGCTGTCACTGATGAAAAGCGCCTGGGCCACATTTTTGCAAAATTAGAAAGCCGAGACCAATATAAAAGCCTTGATTCGCGCCAAAATTTGCTTAAGTAGCAATAAATATTGTAAGTGAAATAACTTTTTTGTTGATTATTTTAGTAATATAGTTTGAAGGCAACATTTTCTTGAATTTTTAAGTACTTTCGTTTGGTAAGGAAAAAAATATACTTTAGGGGGGGGTAAAATTTTGTTTCTGCCCTTATCATGCGAACGCGACTTCAAAGCTTAAAAAGACATAAGAACGAAAAGTGAAGCTTCTCAAGACAAAAATAATGACATATCAATTTTAAAAATCGGCCGTCAAATAACCAAGTTACAACGAAAAAACCATTTCGGCTGTATTTCGGAGGGTTAAAAAAAAAAAAAAAAATTTTTCCAGAACCCTCTCAACATAATCTTTAAATTTAGGGGCGGACATTAGCAACTTTTTTTTTCGACCCAGTCTAGTATACATATGTACATATGTACATACTATATAATGAAAGATGTCGTTAAGTTCCAAAAATCATCTATAAACTCCTTTGGGCTATAAATTTGCCTAGCCTGTCAAAGTGAGAAAT